TCAATCAATCAATTAATCAATCAATCAATCAATCAATCAATTAATCAATCAATCAATCAATCAATCAATTAATCAATCAATCAATCAATCAATCAGTTAATCAATCAATCAATCAATCAATCAATCAATCAACTAACTAGTCGATCAATCAGACGAACAGTCAAGTGGATTTTATCAACCAATCGAACAACGTACCACCAACTCAGCACACAGCCCGGAGATCGAAATGACCAATCAATGAATCAACCAATCAATTAGTTAATTAGCCAACCAATCAACTCATCAACCGATCATGCAATCAACCAATCAACCAATCAATCAATCAATCAATCAATCAATCAACAAGCCGGCCAACCAACCAATCACCGAGCCATACGACCTTCCGTGGATTTGGGCGTGTATTACGATGCGGATCAGTCGGTTGATTAACGACCGAGGTGTTCTGTTGTCGATCAGTAAAATTGTGGTTAACTCGTAATTACTGTGGTAACATTTGCGGTGGGTGAAAAAAGGCCATAGCAGCTATGCTATCCTTCCTACCTATCAGATCAATCAACGAGGCAAAGAAAGAACTCGGCTGCAGAGGCATGCTAAGCACGTACGCGCCAAGGGAGGAGTGTGCGTTTCCTTGGCCATTTATTAAGAGGCCATTTTGGTGTTTAAGGGTACGATGAGGAACAGCTCAAACGAACAGCGAATGAGCAAAACAGCAGCTGGACATCAGCTGTCACCTGTGGATTTTTTTTATTATTATTTTTTTAAACAATAAAACAATTTTCCCTCTATAGCAAGCAACTGTTATTAATGTATTATTATTATCTTTGCGTGAGGGAGACACCACTGGATAACAGCCGTCTGAGGCGCGTACTCACTCGCACTAGGACTTTTTCTACTAAGCTCTAGACGTGATTGCGGTAAGATTCATCCAGGTCTTGCCGTAATTGCGCTCAGATACATTTTGAAAAGTGCTAGTGTGAGTATGCGCTGAGGGTGGCAGGTGAGAGAGTACCTACCTTCTTCCCCCGACCATAACGCTCCTTTGATTATGAATTTCTGCAAGCCATGTTTCCGGTCCGATACAGTTGCGATCAGGCTGCGTTGTGTTCGGGGGAAGACAGCAGTTCAGCGGGGTGCGATCATCGGTGAACCATGACAGTGATGTATGAAGCTACCGTCTTCACCCGAATAGAACGCCCTGTCATTACAGCCGTATTTCGGGCGATTTTCAGTCCAGATGCAGCAATATCACCTGGCGTTCTATTCGGGTGAAGACGGTACCTGTTTAGGAGAGAGAGGATGACCGTGACCATGCACGTAAGCCCGGAGAATGTTCGTGCACGTGACGCACGCGGAGGGGGGGGGGAGAGACACACAGAGAGAGAGACACAGAGAGAGAGAGAGAGAGAGAGAGAGAGAGAGAGAGAGAGAGAGAGAGAGAGAGAGAGAGGATGACTGACCANAGAGAGAGAGAGAGAGGATGACTGACCATGCATGTGAGTGCGGAGAATGTTCGTGCACTTTACACATGTGGGGAGAGAGAGAGAGAGAGAGAGAGAGAGAGAGAGAGAGTCAACATTTGCCCTTTGACATTAAGTGGCTAGCTTGAAACGACAGTCTTGGCTCACTGATGTTGCGCCGGACTGGGCAAGATATGAACGTGAGCTGATCAGAACGCTTTGACATTTCAAGGCGTTCAAAATCAAGCGAGGGAAAGTAGCTGTTGTGCTGGCTACAAAAACATGTGCTCGTCCTGTGGCTTGAGTCCTTAGCATATGAGTCAGCCGCTGTTCCGTTTTTTTTTGCCTCGGTGGCTGATCTGGTAGAATATCTTCTTGTGACGCCTTCTTTTTTTTGCCCCACAGATGTTGTAGTTCCTGCGGTTTCAATCGTTTTTTTTTCCCTGGCTGCAACACGACCGTCGGCACACGCGATGTGCGCCAATGCTTAGGACTGACAAGAGCGCACATTACGCCCCAAAGCATAGACCTGCGTTCACACTGATCTTCCCTGGAAGGATGTGTTTGCATCAGCACCCGAGGAAGCCATTCAGCCACTTCCTACGATCACCTACACTGATTGCAGCTTTTATTCACTTCATCATCTTTGCATTGACCGCCCGGGCAACCAAGCATTAGAAAGGATAGGTGACCACTTTTTTTTTCAATTCTGGATCAGATATTAAACTGATCAGAACAGACACTACACTTTATCTTAGCCAAAAGGCCGAGAACGCCCGGTTTTTTTTTTTTTTTTTTTTTTTTTTTTTTGAATAGATATTAAGCCAAGCATTGGAAGGATTGGTGACTTCTTTTGGAGCAAGGCATGTGCGAATCTATCCTGTTTTTGGAATATCATCATTTCGTAATTACCCCTACTACCATCTTCAACCCAATAGAACGCCCGGTCATTATAACGTCTCTAGGGCAACTTCAAGTGTAGATGCAGAGATAATGACCGGGCAAAAATATAGCTGTATTTCGGGCGACCTTACGTCTAGATACAGTGGTAATGACCGGGCGTTCTATTCGGGTGAAGATGGTGGTCGTTAGCCAGTTCTTGACAGGCTCTCCTGTCAGGATGCCTGAAACAACTACCGTCTTCATCCGAATAGAACGCAGTGTCATTGTCACTGTATCTAGACTTGATATTGCCCTAAATACAGCTATATATTCTGTCAGATTGTAACAGTAATAGTTTCCAGCTCAGATGGAATCATACGACTATTCATCTGTAAATGATATATCATATCATTTAAAAATATGAATCAAGAATTTAAAACCACTAGTATACGTCCGAGCCTGTTTTTTGCTGAGCCTGAATTTCACTGCTCTCCAAGTTTCGCCGAGCCTGGGTCCCACCGGGTCCCGCTCCATTTTCTATTCTCGTACTCTCACGGAAAGAACTAAAAAAAAAAAAAAAAAAGGCGTGGCAGTGAAACTCGCAAAAAAGAATGGAAAACAAGAAGATGGAAACAAAGCTTTGGCCGTGAAATGCAGTTGTATGCAGATATGCATCTGAAAATTCATTCACGAATACAAGCATTGGTACACATAATCAAAGATCACGCGCACACAGCATACTCAACTCGTAGTCGAACACTGAGTGTAAGTTGGAAGTGGTAGTGTGAGTGCGCCCTCAGTGAGGGCGTCTCAGTCCTGTGCCCAGGTTGTCAGATTCCAGAAAGACAAAGAAGAAGAAAAAGAAGGAAACACGTATTCGGCGGTGAAAATGGCTGGATACATTCCTCTAAGTGCCAGTGTGATCATGTTACAATCCTCTGAGGAAACAGAGCTTGAGCAGATCATGGATTCCGCCCTCTGCCTCGTTGGCAGGGGACATAAGAATGAGAAGAGAGAGAAAAAAAAGAGAACAACAACATTCGGAATCTGACAGCTTTTAGCTGTAAGATTCATTCTGTGGAGGACTACCGTGAGCACGGCCTCCTAGACTACCCTGCCTGACGTCATTGCAGTAGAGAAAGAATCTTTTTTTTTTTTTTTTTGTTCCCTTTCATGCGCGGGCAATATAAAAGTAAAAGTAAACTTTATTCTTTTTGCCCCTCCTAGTAGAGAAAGAATCTTTTTTTTTTTTTTTTTTCTGTTCCCTTTCATGAGCGGGCAATATAAAAATAAAAGCTAACTTTGTTCTTCTTGTCGAGCCTCTAGAACCTCCAAACGCTTCGGGGACATTGTGAAAACAACCCGTTTTCACTAGTTTAGGTTTTTCCCAACACTGGCAGAGGTACTAGTAGTGGTTTAAACTTTGAAGGTCACGACTCACAAGATTACAGACGGCTTTTTTCCGAATTGAATCATATTGTTTCAAATGGGTAATAAGTTTTTAGCCATAAAGATATTATGATTACTTGTGGTGTGTGCCAAATTGAATCGTAACGACTACGAATAACCATGGTTTATCAATGTTGATCCCCATCGCGGGTGAAGGGAAGGGTGAATTTGATTGCTATGGGCCCAAAAATCAAAATCGTTGTCCAACTGTGACACGTAGGCACACACACGAATGGTACAATGCATCTATGCCGTGCATTGCTATGGGTCGAAAATGTCAAATCTATTTCCAATTGTGACACATAGGCACACACACGACGGTACCACGCATCTATGCATTGCATTGCCCAGTTTGCGTTCAGGGTCGTTGATGAAGTGTGGTCGTTGTGGCTAATGGAATGGCTATGGTGTGATGCGTTTCAGGCTGCGGAGGCCCAAAAACTGAGGAGAAGGAAGAAGGCTGAAATGGAAAGAAGGCTGAAGATGGAGGCTCGACAACGGCAGCGTCTCGAGGACCTCCGGAAGCATCAACGACAGGTACTGAATGCAATATCTGGCAATGAAAGGAATTGCGTTGCGATTTTGGCCTTTGGCTCGATGCGCAGTGCGCTTGGTAATCACACCGCGTCTTTGGTAGTCACTTATGAACGTTCAGGACAGCTGTTCAAATTGTGCTTGCAACTTTCAGTTTCAGTAGCTGTTATTTATTTTATATTATCTATCAGTGTGAGCGAGAGAGTGTTGTTCAGATTGTCATGCTGCTGCATCGTGACAACCGAGTCCTTCGATGTTTGTATGCAGGAGCAACACAGTTTGGGTCAGAAAGAGCAGATCAGGGGGATGATTAGAGCAAACCTGGAGCGCAAGGTGGTTGGCTGCGTGGACATGGTATCTTTGCTAAGGGTGCTAGGGATCCAAGTTGAGGGAGGATTGCGGCCTTCGCCAGAGCAGGTGGGTTCATTTGTGGTAGAAATAAGGGAGGGGTTGAGTTTGCCCAGACCCCCCTCCCCACCGCCCTTTTTTGTTTTTTCCCGACTTGATAGCACATCTTGACCTCGGTGTTTCACACTGTAAATCCAGTTAATTTAGGAAATTTCTAGGCTGTTTTTCCAGGTGCCCGGACACCCAACTTGTGCCCGGACACACGCCCGGGTGCCTGGCCGGCCAGCCGGCAGGCCGGACATAAACCCAGGGCAAGGTTCTGGGCAGCCCCGGCGTTAGAAAAAAAAAAAAAATCCGAAAAATTCCAGAAAAAAAAGTTGTATAGAATTGCAATGCAAATGACTTTTGGCTGAGGTTCACATCAGAATTCGTCGTGTAATTGAAGATATAAAAGACAACAACAGGAAGCGGACTAAGGCAATCCCCCTTTAAACCTCTGTAGCCCCTTAAAAACCAATTTCTACCCCTCTCCTCCCCTTGACAGACGACACTTGAAAAAAGAAAGGAGCCCGGATTTGGGCTCCTCTGGGCATGTGCTGAAAACACCTACCTAAAAGAAAACAAGAGAAAAGGGCTGCTTTTTGCCTGCACAGGGTGCCCTGTGCAGGTGACACCACAGGCGACTTGCCCGGGCTGCACGGCCAGGCAAGCCAAGTAGCCTAGGGAATTTTTCCGACAACAGGTGTGCATAAAATGTCTATCTGCTCATCCTGTCTGAACCAAATAAAGAGAAATCGCTCTCAACTTCATCAACGTGGTGAGTCTTGTATGCGAGAGGCACAGTGAAGCGGGAGCTAAAAGTAGAACTAATCAAGAGAACAGTTTCAGTGTGCTCCTCATGTTTGTTTTCTGTGCTTTTGTTGTCTGTTTCGCAAATCGCGCTCTTTTGGCCGATCATTATGTGACAATATATGCAGTTTGTTCTTACTGACCTTCTACCTGTGGGAACGCCACTGTGTATTGCTCACATCTCTCTCTCTCTCTCTCTCTCTCTCTCTCTCTCTCTCTTTCTCTCTCTCTCTCACTTCCCTCTCTCTCACTGACTCTCTCTCTCTCTCTCTCTCTCTCACTTCCCTCTCTCTCTCACTGACTCTCAGTGTTTTATTGTGCTATCTCTGTTGCAAATACTACACCTGATGCAGGCAAAAGTAATAGCAAATTTAGTAGCCTAACGTATCGAATTAGTTTATGGCTTCCGTAGACAGGAAGATGGTCGAGTGGGGGGTCCAAAAATGTCATGGATTGGTGCACTGATCTGGTTTTGCCCGTGCATGTAGTATGACTGACTGCCTTGCGACTGAACTGCCTGCGACCGAAAAAATGCTTGACCCCTCTTCGCCTTGTGTGTGTGCGTGTGAAAGGGTGCGCGCGACAGGGCGCATGATGGTACAAAACTTCCTACTATTGACTATCTGAAATAAATTTTCAGCACAGCTGAGGAACGAAAGTGTGGAACAGATGCACCCAGTACTGGAAGGTGGGGAACGACTATGTGGGGCCATAAGAGCATCCATGCTTCAGACACACTTTGCGGATGAACCAGAGCATACACAATAACACATCATTGTGTGTGTGTGTGTGTGTGTGTGTGTGTGTGTGTGTGTGTGTGTGTGTGTGCAGGTTAGCAGTGCATACAAGAAAGCGTTGCTTCGTTTCCATCCGGACCGTGCTGCTGCGTCTGGAGGTCGTGACCCAATGAAGCAGGTGGAAGCAGAAGAGACTTTTAAACTTATGTCCAGAATGAAGAACACACTTCCCCTAACAGGGTATTAAAGTCTGCCATTCCCAGATCGAGCGAGGTGCGGGTTGCTGGGTAAAGATCGTTGTGGTTGTAGGGGTGGCTGTGATTTGTGCCAACCCTCCTTAGCTTTATTTGTAGTTCTGGTGAGGAACCTCGTAAATAGCCTTTGGGGCAGGTTTTCACACCCCTTCTTACCCCCCCCCGCGTACCCCACCATCCGAGTCCTCCTGGTCTGCGTCTTCCCTGTCAAATGACTTCTCTTTCTATCAAGCTCCTGTGCCAAATGGCTTCTCTTGCTATCGAGCTTCTGACGAATGGCTTCTCTTTCTATCGAGCTCCTCTGTGCCTGCTGCTGCCGTCTCGCTTGAGATTTCTTGGCTGTTGTCTGTCTCGCCATGATCCCTTGGGTACTTTCTTAGTGTGAAGTTTTGTGGTATATCGTATATGTATTTGGCCTGAATGATTGAAAGGTTCGTTTACTTTCTTTGTGTATTGTTTAGTGGGTGATCGGCCATTGTGTGATGTAAAGAACGCGATTGGGGTTACTCTTCATCTTCACGGTTTCATGGTCTGGGGTGATGACACTTGTATTGGCACAAAGAGAATGCACCAGAAGGACTGGCAGAGTGAGCGTGTATATTTTGCACCCCAACGAGCTAGTCAACAGGCAGAGGAAGCTGCCTTCTTAACAGAGAATGCCTGGCTCTAACCCTGGCTGCGTTAGGGTGAGGGCAACCCTGGCTGCATTAGGGTGAGGGTAGAGAGGCAGCATTGAGCAATATCATGGTGCTGAGTTAACGTTGAGCCCACAGTAGTTATGAGTTCACCCTTCTTTCCTTTGCCTCTTTCTTTCCAAATTCTTGTTTCTCTTTCCTGCATCTCATTGTGTGTGTTTGCACACACACACATCTATGTGAAGTATTTACGATCGGGCTCTTCCTCGTGTTCTTTTTCTCAGTATGTTGTACGAAAAGAGACTCCTACCACTGCCACTTGGTGTCATCGGCCCACGCTTAGTCCGTTGTGAAGAGCAGGATAGAATGTTCTTCAACCCCACGTTCAGACTGTTCGTTACACATCGCGGATGATGACAGGAATGTATACAAGTCGCGTCTTGCTCTATGGTTTTGCAACCATTGTTCTGCTGTCATTATATTATTTCGCATTACATTACCAGATTTGTTTTTTTTTCCTTTCCTTTTCTTTTCTTTTTCTGCTCCCCTCTCAGATTCAGTATTTGTAATCTGATCTGTTTTTTTCTGAATAAGTGTTGGGATTGGTGTCCGTTGGTAGGACCGCTGTACATCATGTTGTTTCAACCTTTGGCAGATGCTTGACAGAAAGTCTTTTTGGTCTTCTTTTGTGGGCGGCAAGGGCTGGCTTCGGACAGTTTGAACCAGTTGTCGAGGTTCTGAGATACTTGTCGATTGTTAGAGTTCCCAGAAAAAAAAGGTCGATCGGTTGACCAGTTCCTAAAAAGTCAAAAGTGTTGAGTCTGTTGACCAGGCCAGGTTCTGATGTGTTTTCTCTCAAAATGTCTTCTTTGACGACTCGTCATCTAAGTTATTGCAATTTTAATGCATTTCATTAATTTTCATATGTTGTGTTGTTTTCTGATTGGTGTGCAACTTTGCACAGATGACAACGAACTCGTTTCCCNCCCCACCCAACTTCTTATTTTTATTCCCTGTGGAACAGGGTCGTATGGGTCTCGTTCCTTTCTATTGGCTAGAGCATTGCTTCAGTTTGTCCTCCAATCGGCGAGTCTCATGTACAGTGAAAAATGCAGATGCAGATGCTTTGTTCTGTTACGGTCGAACGGGGCAACTGGCGAGCGGCATTGATTGCTCGTTGTGAAGGAGGCAGTCGCAAGTGTCAGGTAAGCGTCCTTTTTCACCTCCACTTGCTGGAGTTCCTCTCGGCCAACTTTTGACCGGGCGGCCACATCGGCATGAGTACTGGCCTCTTTTAACCTCTTGTGCTTGGATTCATCACGGAGCCCTTTGTTTTTCTTTTTTTTTAACTTTTTCTTTCTTGTTTTGTCTCGCCTTGTTTGTTCTCCTCTTCGCTTGTCACCTCATGTGATCTCATCTGGTGCCCTCTGCCCTCCTCTCCTCTCCTCTTCCCCTCCCCCTCCCGGGCTCTTCCCATTGAAATTGATGCCTCTCTCAGCAGGCCCAAGTTTACAAGTTTGTGTTCCTAGTACTTCCTACATAGGGCAAATTATCTATGACTAGTTTATTGATGTATCATAAAACAGATCAATTATAAAACGGATTAACGAGTGTTTAAAGGATTATTGATCAGCAATTAGGGTTGCATACCCACCGACTGCCTACCCTGACCGTCGAGAGTTTTGCAGCCTACCGGTCAGTGTTCTGCCGACCGGTCAGTAAACAGCCATCCATTGATGTTTTGTTTTAAATCTGTATGGGGCTCTGCTGCGCTGGCTGAGTACAGCCCAAATTCGCTGAGAAACTTCTGGGAATGGTGGGGGGTACAGGGGGGTTGTGGGCTGGCTATAGGGGGGTATCTGTCTCTTATACACATCTAGATGTGTATAAGAGACGGGGGTATAGGGGGGTATAGGGGTGGTATAGAGGGTATTGGGGGTATGAGAGTGTTTGGGGGAGGTTTGGGGGTGCCGAAGTGCTGTCTCTTATACACATCTAGATGTGTATAAGAGACAGGTATAGGGGTGGTGTAGGGAGTATTGGGGGGTGGTATGAGGATGTTGGGGGGCGGTTTAGGGCTGTTGGGGGGTGTATGGGGTGTCAGTGGGGTTACTGGGGGTTATGGACTCCCAAAAAAATATTT